TTCTCACACCCCAACAGGAGGTGGGAAAAACATCCCTACTGCTCAACATTGTTGCTTCCAAACCTTTTCTTCTTCTCTCAAAAACTCCAGTTCCTTTGAAGTTTTTGTCACATAGTTGTACACCCTTGGATTAGTCAGTGTCCCCGACAGGATAGAGATAGCACACTGATATTAGGTTAATTTAAGGATGATTTAATAAAGGCATAATTTACAAAGGTATGAATGGGGTAGGGAAAGTACAAGCAATAGTGAGTGCAGTATCCCAGGGCCAGTAGCAGTGGAGCTAGTTCCACTTTGGGGACAGAAGGAACAAATGAAGTGCTGGGGGACCCAAAAGGAGAAGTATGTATCCAGAAAGCCATGGAAAGAGCAGAGACCTTAAGTTCAGAGATAAAACCTTCCCTCTCGCAAATCTTCTGCTAAAGATCCCCACTGGCCAAACCTAGCTACAACCAGAGGGCAAAGAAACCTGTTGATTTTAGTCCACTGATTTCAGCTAACATGGCATGAGTTGGGTAGACAAGCATGGAGAATGGATCTGGTGGGACAAATGGCCCTATGCTCTTCTTGTTTGCTGTCAGAGCTCCTAGCTTATTATCATCCTTTCCACCCGTCAGATACCCCTACTGATGTTTTTCATTCATTCTAACAGTCATACCATAAATACTACACTCCTCCACCTCTACTTTCCCATCTTTACTTCCTATTACACCCACAGAAATTTTCACACACTTCACTCCCTTGAAAAGAACCTTCTCTCTCTAGTGTCCCACTTATCAAAATTCTAACTGTTTAAAGCCAATTATGTGTCTTTTCCATTGGGGGGAAATACGTAAAATTATGCTGATTGACTTCTCAGTACATTTGTTATCACAAGCTTCAAATGAACACTTTAATATTATCCTGGTCCTGGGGAGTATGCCAATTATTCAAGATTATTACTTTACACCTTTGTTCTCTTCAAGCCTCCTACACTCTACACCCCCCAGTCTCCATACTCTCCTGTATTTACCACCAATTCTACAAAATCCCTTGTATCTGCACCCATGCCCATGACCTCTATCCTTACCGTTGAATAAGGATCACTCCTTCTATCAGTCTCTTTAACATCAACAAACACTGCTATGTCAAGAAAATCCCATCTTATAAAATAAGTTTTCTCAATTTCAAATTCTCCTCCATATTCCATCCAATTCCACCCTGTTGTCCATCAAAGAAAAGCTTGAAAAAACATTCTAGAGAAACTTCTGATTGTCTTCACCCCCCATTCTCTCTTCTGCTCGTGCATCACTACCATGCTCTGCTTTCCATCCCCACCATGGAATGATGCTTTTTAAATCCTCAGTGACTAACCTGCTCCCAAGTCATCTGATATCACCTTTCAGGAATAGGTGACATAATTGACTGAAGTCTCATTCCTAAATCATTTTCCCTTCTTAGTTTTTGTGGATACCATTCTTTTCTATTTTTTTCTCTTATCTCCCTGGTTTTCCTTCTACATCTTCTCTGCTGCCTCAGTGTCTTCTTACTAAATCTCAAAATGTTAGCAACCCCAGTCTCGTCTTTATCCTTTGCTATCCAATACAGTTGCAACAACCCACATGTATCTGTTCAAATTTAAAATAATGTAAGTAAAGTGATGTTGAAAGTCAGTTACTTGATTGCAACAGCCATATTTCAAGAGCTCGATAGACACATGTACATCACATACAACATATATAAAACATTTTCATCAACAATTGTACATGACTGTCCTGAACTGTTTCTTCAGGTTATCTTACCCTACTCCATGGCTTTGAATACTATCTATATACTAATGAATTCTAAATTTATGCCTTCATGTCTGACTCAAGCTTCAGATATGTACATAAAATTGCCCATTTAATATAATCACTTGGATTTCTAACAGGTTCTTCAGACTAAAATCCAAAACAGAACACTTCATTTTCATCTTCTCCTCCTTTCCCCACAAAAGTTTAGTTTTACTCCAGTCCATCTATTAGCAAAATACACCATCTAACCATTTCTAAAGCCAAAATATCCACAAGTCATCTTGATTTCTCCCTTTTCTTCATCTCCAGTATCTAACCCATTAACAAGTCTTATTGACTCCACCCATAAAATGAGTCTCAAATTTGCCCTCTTCTACCACCACTGTCATCTCCCTCATCCAAGATTCTTAGCTGGGTTACTGCCTAATATAATGTCTAGCACATAGCATATACTCATTAAATATGTTGAATAAATTAACACACAAAAATCCTACAAAAAATGAAAAGTCTAAACTTCTAAATACTTAAAAATATGCATGAATAGTAGATATTTTCCATGGAAACCTTAGGAAAAGTATAAGAAAATAATAATCACTTCCCAGATAGACTACTCAAGATTGGTTATGAACCACATATCATTGATTTTGTCAACTGTTGTATTTTTTCATGCTTTACATAGCACTATAATTTGCCTTCATAAAATTTTTACCTTTTCAGACAGTGCAACTCACTGTCTCAATTTTAGCTGCTGATTCTTCTGGCTCTGTCTTAACTTTCCTGATTAACCCAGTACAGCTTCCTGACCTCTTATTTTCTACACATTCTGTCACAGCCCAGGACTCAGCCCACCCTGTAGACAGTTTTGTTCAGGGATTCTCAGCTTTGTTCCTGTCTCTGGCCTGTTACCTAACTCCTCTTTGCAGTCCTCAACTGCTTTGACAGGAAAACCAAACAGTTTGACTCTCTCATTAATTCAATAATTCCAGTGTTACCTACTCCATCATCCTGATTCTAGATATTACCTGGCAGACCCCAAATGCTTGATTGCCTGCATTCAATTCTAGCTCTATACCAAGTGTAGGCAAACTGATATTTTTCTTAAAGATATAGGTGATTATAGTATTGAGGGGATAGGATAATACTAGATGCAACAGTATCTTCTCAGTATTAAGTCTTCCCTAATATGGAACCTGGAGCTTGAAGCCAAGCAATTATTATAGTCCTGACATCAGCATTGCATGTGTCAGTTTACAAAGAAACATTATCTTCACAGCAATTGAGACACTATTGCCTCCTACCTTCAACTTCCTGTTCTCCAAAAGAATTTCCATTTTGTTCAATACCCATCCTGCATCTAATGTTATATGCTAGAGCAGAATTGTATGTCATCCTCCATTCCTACCCCTGCCAGCCTTTGGGGTCTTTTTCCTTTTTATTCATGGGGAAGTGATATGAAAATGGCATAAACGAGTGAAAAACAAGTTTGTTGTGAGGGATTCTGGGAAAGATTTCTTCAACCTTAAGGAGAAACAAAGGATCCAATGACAAGATAACTTTTTTTATGGCTCTGGAGATTGCTCTGTGTGGATGTAATTTGTAGGGCCACTTATGTCTTCTTTTAAGCATGAAGGTAGAGAGTCTTAGGTTGAAGCCATTTCTGAGAATGGCAGAGATGATAAATGAAAAAAATGACATTGTAACATTCTTGAACTGTTTTTCATATTATTCCGGAGACCCTCTTCTGGAGACTTTCAACAATGTATTTATTTGTTAAGTCCACCAAGAGATTTTGATTTCCATCAAAATTTGAGACACTGACCTCTAAATCCACAACTACGAACTTTCTCCACTATTTATCAACTAAGAAATCTTAGGCAAATTATCTAACTTGTATGAAATTTGCTTCTTTATTTATAAAGAGAGGAATAATATCACCTTACTGGCCTTATTGTGAGGATGCAGGGTCGAGAGGATTGGATGGAAGAATATATAGAGTGCTGAGATTCACAAGCCAGAAAAGGATGTAGCCAAAAAGATTCCCAAACTTGCCTGCTAATTCAGGAATTAACACCTGGTTTTATAAACTGATCCCATCACCTCCCCTGGAGATTCAACTACTGGGCCCCAAGCACTATCACCAGTATTTCTTTAGTGGACTCTGGAAGGCTGTCCCTTCAAATACACATTCTAGGCTCCAGGTAAATGTGACCATCAGGCAAGTCTGAATTGACCAAAGAAATACACTATATAGTACTCATAGGCTACAGGAGTTAGGATTTCTAGTTTCTAATTTTGGATGTGACACTCTTCCATTTAGGCAAGTTGTTGCACCTTTCTGCACCTGTTTTCTCACCTGCATGCTTGTCCTGTCTAACCTACAAGTCTGTGGGCATCCAAAGGCAAATCACATTTGGGGTGAAGGGGTTTCTCTAACTTTAGGGTTTTTGTTTTTGTTGTTGCTGCTGTAATGTGGATTAAGCGGACAAAAATAAGCAAAAGTGGGAGTGAAGGAAGTATTGGCAGATAATGATTTTTCTTGAGGCCATGAGGAACACACTCTGAATGCTTTGAGGTAAAATCAATTGAATAATAATTGTAGGACTATGACTTCTCTCTCCTGCTGCCTTGAGCTACTGGGCTTGCAATCCTCTCAGGAACCTGGCGTAGCTTGAGGTGATCACCCTGAACCACTCTGGTCCGTATAGTGAGATCACCTAGAAAAATTCAAGAAATGCGTGTTGGGAAAGAGCGGGTTTACACAAGAACCCTAGATTCATTTTGTTTTTCCCCACTAGGATATCTTTACTGACAAAACATTTTCAGTGATGTTGGTATGTGCAACAGAAACAGTTCAGGAAGGGAAGAGAAGAAAAGGAAAAAGGGGATGGAAGAAGCAGAAGGGAGGAAAGGAAGAAAAAAGCGATGTATGTGTTAGTTGGCAGGCAGAGCTGGAACACCTCCTAACTTGGAAGCTTGGCGGGTCTTTCGGAAGTGCAGGAGGCCTGACCTCATCACTGGCGCAAATCAAACTTCTCCAGCGTTTAACATCCCGAATTTCAGTTTATGCCTGGAGGGAGGCCTAGTAGAATCAAACAGGGCAGCCGCAAAAGTCCGCAAAGCCCGGACTTTTCCCTCCGGCCCGCAGCCCCGCCCACCTTGGCATAGCCACGCCCATCGAGAAGTGCCTTGCTCAAAGTTTGGGTCTCCTCAGCGCCTGTAGTCGTGAACTTTGACTGCTCGTGCCAGGAATAATGCGCATGCGCCATTCCTTTGCATGGTGTGTTTTCAAATTTTAGCTGCAGCGATCGGAGCTGTGGCTGTGGTCCTAGTCCTACGACTATGGATAGTGCTTCGGCCTCAGGACGTGAGGCCCCGGGAGTCTCTCAATCTCCTGGTGGTGGCTGGGTCCGGTAAGTATCGCGGCGGTGCCTCTTGGGCTTGGGTCGGTCACTACACACCCCAGAGTACACCGCGACGCTTTCTCTGGCCTCGTTAGCGCTCTTTGGAGCGATGCATGCTGAGATTTGTAGTTTCTCCGCGTTACCGGAATCAGCCCAGCCCGGGGAGGGGGGAGGAGGGGGAATGCAGTTTTCTGACGTGGCTCCTTCCCTTTTAATAATAAGTAATTTACACTTGTCTGTAATTAAGCCTCTCCTTTGTAACAAATAATTAGTGAACAGAGAACGCCGACGCTTTTGATGCTAACATACAGTTTTCCTGTTTGGCTGTTGTATTATTAATGTAGGCACTTTGTCTTTCGTTTAGGAAACACGAATACTAAATAGTAAATGAAGCAAAGTGAATTGTTTCATTTCTAAATATACAACACCCACAAGGTCAAAATCATTGACTACAGATCTTAGAACTATGCATACAGGGTGGCAGGATATGAGCAATAAATTGTCCTGTGATTTACGATTTTAAATGGACAATTTTGATAAGAATATATTCCTATCCCTTATAATCTCATATATATACACACACATATGTATATATGTATTCATAATTATGCATGGCTTACCTTTTAAGAATGCGTCCTTGTGCAAACATCATGAGAGATCCTTACACAAACCCAGAAGTTATAGAATACTGCACACCGAGGCTCTCTGGTATGCATATATATGGTATAGTCCTAGGGCCATGGTGAACAACACAACACAAGATTAAATCAAACACGACAGAAATGATACAATTAAGAATCAGTAAACATGAGATAGGTGAGGCTTCTGCTTCTGTTAACAGGATATATTTTATTTTACAATTTTTTTTAATAAAAAGGAGGAGTACACTGTAACAATAAAAAGAATAGTAAATAAACCAGTAGCAGTCACTTATTATCTAGTATTATGCATTACTATACTTGATTGTATGTGCTATGCTTTTATGACAGGAAGCACCACAAACATGTGAGTATTGCCTTGTAGCTACTGTGTTATGACAGCTACCATGTCACTAGATGATAAGAATTTTTCAGTTCCCTTATAATCTCATGAGACCACTGTCTTATATGCTGTTTATCATTGCCCAATATATCATTATGTAGTGCATGACTACACACACACACATACACACACATACATTTGGAAATACCAGGAGATGTGTGCAAATAGAATATTTAAAGTATGAACAAATTTGTAAATATAATTTATTACTTTATTCATTTAACCTGTTTATTTTGAGCTGTAAGATAGGCCAGGCACTAAGCTAAGCTTTGGAAATAATAAAACTGACTAATATTACATGGAGTGCTATGTGCTAAGCACTGAGAAGTACACAAAAATACAACAGTGGATGAAATAGAGAATACAGAAAGACTAACAAATGACAATACAAAATGAGTACTTGCCACAATGAGGTAAGTGCTAAAAATCTTATATAATTGTAGAAGAAGTGCACAGCTGTGCTGTGGCTATGCAATCTTCAGAAAGGGCACCACTTTATCTGAACTTGAGACAAGGAAAGGCTAAAGGATGATGTCCAGGTTTCTGATTTGAACAAATGGATAGATGTTAAAGCTGTTCACTTGGAAATATTGGAGTTGGTGGACTAGAATCCAAAATTGTTGAAAATTCATCTGACTAGTGGTGTCTTCCCTCATTCAACACATTCAGGGTAGGGAGGGATCAAGGACCTTCAAGAATCATGCAAGTCAAAAAAACCACTTGTAATCAAATAAATTTAATAATTCATGCTGAAATTTTTTGAGGAGGGAAAAAGTATTTTCAAAGTTCACCTTGAAAAGCAAGCAACATTTAATCTTTAGGTACCATAAAATATTATTAGTCAAGCACTTATATTCAGAGGACATCTGTCAAAGTATACTACTTTCCTTTGATACACAGTGTGTTCTCCTTGGGCAAATTTTAGATTTAATATTGAACTCATTCTTTGAACAATAGGAAAGCATATTATTTTATGTTCACTGGCGGTACAGCAGTAACAATGAACAAAAATCCCTGCCTTGGTGTTTGCCTTCTAGTGGGGTAGACATTGGGGGATGTAAAAGGCAAAAGAAAGAAATAAGACTACATAGTAAAGTTATATAGTGATAAATACTATGACATGGGAGGAGAAGTAGCATTTTAAAAGAATTGTCAAGGAACACTTCCTGGGAAAATGACAGATATCCAATAGCAAGGAAGTTAGAGGTGACCAGAGTAGACTAAATAAGGGGGAAAGAGGCAGGTGATGAAGTCCAAAAGGAGCAGAGATTGCAATCAGATTACAAAAAGCCTTTTATTCCACCAGAGACACAACACCATTGGAGAGTTTTAAGCAGAGCTAAATAATTCAGTCAACTCTTTTTAATAGGATCTCAACTGGATGCTGTGTTGAGAATACCCTGATGGAGAAATGAGGGAGTAGGGTGGAGACCAGGAAACTATGTTTATAATCCATGTAAAAAGTGACAGTGGCTTGGATCAGAATGGTAGCAAAGGAGTTGGTGAGAAGTGATTAGATGTTGTATATATTTTAAGGTAGAATTGTGATGATTTATTCCTCAATAATATATCTACTAAAATAGACCCAGAGTTCATCATTTTAATGACTTCAGTAGGAAAGTTAAATTTTCAATGAATGTACTTAATGAAGTTTTCCTTTTGAGAGAGAAGACTATTAAAGCAGGTAAAATGAAGTTTCCATTGCAGTGGAAGATGTTGTGAATTTTAGGTTTTATCCTTAATTTTTCCAGCTGTGAAAACAAGTACCTACTTTGCAAACCACAACACTTTTCAAGGCTAAAAATAAAAATACCGAAATGAGTATAAACCAGATGTGTAAATTACATACCCCTGTCATCTCTTACTTTAAAATTCTATAAAGTCAGTGTGTGATTATAATTCTTGACATTTACATTAATCTGTGTCACATTTCTTTCTATGTATAATTCCTTCTAGAATCTGGAAAGAAACTACTCCTTTCCTACTATTAAGAAAAAATGTTAGTGTAACCCTGTCTCTAATTAAAATACAAAATACAAAATAGGGCTGGGGATGTGGCTCTGGTCGATTGCCCCTGAGTTCAATCCCTAGTACCAAAAAAAAAAAGTGTGTGTGTGTGTGTGTGTGTGTGTGAGAGAGAGAGATCTTGGGCTGTGTTTGTAGCTCAGTGGTAGAGCGCTTGCCTGCCATATGTGAGGCACTGGGTTCAATCCTTAGCACCACATAAAACTAAATAAAATAAAGGCAGACTATTGAGTACACTAATAATTTAATTGTCCATAAACAACTAAAAAATATATGTATATATATGTGTCAAGTGGAAACCCATACTTAATTTGTTTGATTATATTTCTTTGTATTTATTATTATTAAAAACTCATTCTTAGACTCATAAAGGAGGTGGGATAAGGAGTCCCCCTCTTGATCAAAGGAAAGAGGAGGTAACAAACAAGATGAATGTAGAGAATGTTGAAGACATCAACCTGGCTGAAGCACAGAACTTGTAACATGAACCTAAAATAGGTGTAATATAGTTCCTTATTGTGCTTAAATGGTTTGTGATAGATATTCTTTCATTGCTGTTGTTGTTTGCACGAAATAAACCATGGTGAACATGCAGTTAGCTTTCCCTCCGTGTACAATGGGTTCTCTATCCTTGCATACAACCAATGGCAGATCAAAAATATTTTTTAAAAAATTATATTTGTACTAAACATATACAGACTTTTTTCTTATCATTATTTCCTAAACAATACATTATAACAATGATGTAACATTTACATTATAATAGACATTATAAGTAATCTACAGATGGTTTAAAATATGCAGGAGTAAGTGTGTAAGTTATATGCAAATACTATACCATTTTTTCTAGAGGACTTGAACATCTGTGAATTTTGGTTTCATGTCTATTCTGGAAATAATCTTTCACAGATACTGAGGAAAGATGGTAGTTATCTTTTTAAATTTTATTTTTATTTATTTTTTATTTTTTATTTTATTTTTTTATTAGTTACACATGACAGTACAATGATCTTGACATATAATACATTTGATCAAATGGGGTATAATTTCTCATTTTTCTGAGTGTACAGGTTGCAGAATCACATTGAATATAGTCACATATATACATACAGCAATACTAGTGTCTATTTTATTCTGCTTTTAAATTCATGCTTTTAAAATTAAGGTATTAAAATTTTGGAGATCGTATGATTTAAAAAACTGAACGTTGGGACTGGGGACTCAGTGGTAGAGTAGAGCACTTGCCTCAGAAGTACTAGGCCCTGGATTCGATCTCCAGCATCAAAAATAAACAAACAAAAAATCCAAAGTAAAAAATAAATATGGTGAAGCTGGTAAATATTTGAGGATCTGCAGTGTGCTGAGACCTCTGTTAGGAAGTGAGGTTACAGTGGTGAACAGAAAAAATCTTCCTTAAGAAGATCCAAGCCCTGCTGGCCAGAGCTCATGCCTTTACCTTTTTCTCTATACAGAAGTCTTCAGTAACTGCTTTCATTTTACTTTCCTGATCTTACTTCATCTTCACCTTTCTTTCCTGTATTCACATCATTCCATGAACACATCTCAGATCTTCATCTCATGCTCTAACAATCCCTGTCTCTTCCCAGTAGCCTCCCTACTCCTGTCAGTTCATTATCTTTACCTTTCGAGTTACCTGAACCTTTACCAGATCTTTCGAACTCTTAGGACATTGATATCTACTTGCTTTCATTCCCATTTTAGTTTTTCTTGCTGTCTTGCATCCTTTTTATCTTACTCTATGGTGTGTGTCTTGACCTTTTCCTATCAGTCTTCTTAATTACAGGAACTATATCTTGAACTTCTTTATACCTTCCTCGGTACCTACTGCTAATGTCAAATTTATTTTTATACATTATCTTTTCCCTCTACAAAAGTAGTGTTTATACAATGACAGATTATTGTTTTCAGTGTCTTCCTATCTTTTAAGCCCTGTGCCCATCTTTGAAAACATGATATCAGTATAACTTGGTCAAATGGATATGTCCATTGTGTATTTATTAATCTTAGGCCTTCCAATATTTTTTCCAGGTGGTCATACCACAGAGATCCTGAGGCTAGTTGGGAGCTTGTCCAGTGCTTACTCACCTAGACATTATGTCATTGCTGACACTGATGAAATGAGTTCCAATAAAATTAAGTCTTTTGAACGAGATCAAGCTAATCGAGATTGTAATACCATGGTAAGTGATTATTTCTATTTCTGAAAAAAAATTTACAAGTTGTACATTGAGTTTAAGTTTCTCTGAAAATAATTTTATGGCACTTTAGTGCCCTACCCACAATGGGCAGTCAAATGTTTACTGATATGATGAAATTCATTTCCTTTACTCTCTCACTCAGACTCACATTTTTTTTAGTGATCCAAACTTTATTAGCTTTTTTCTCTTTTTTTCCCATTAGTGCATTATAATTTTACATAATATTGGGATCTATTACATATTCATACACACACACACTTTTTTAGTGTTTTTTATTAAACCATAATTATACATAGTAGTTGAGTTCATTTTGACAAAATCATACTTGCAAGGAATTTGATTTCAATCCCCATTCCCCCTTCTCTCTCACCCTATTCTTCCTCCTCTACTCTACTGAACTTCCTTTTACTCCTTTATTTATTTATTTTTGATTGGTACTTTCTACACATACATAAGGTGAAAGTCCCTTTGGTACATTTATGTATGTATATAACATGATTTTATTAAATTTATTTCATATTCTTCCTGTTTCCTTTCCTTTCTCCCTCTCTTTTTCTCCTTGTACTCCACTGATTTTCCCTATATATTTATAATATCCCATTTCTCACCTCCACCCCCACAATGGTCTTCTTTCCCTTCTTTTGCTCTAGCTTCCACATAAGAAAGAAAACATTCTATCCTTGATTTTCTGAGTCTGGCCTGTTTCACTTAGCATGATGTTCTCCATTTCCATCCATTTACTAGCAAGTTTCATTATTTCATTCTTTATGGTTGAGTAAAACTCCATTGCATATTTGTACCACATTTTCTTGATTCATTCATCTGTTGATGGGCATCTGGACTGATTCCATAATTTGGCTATTGTGAATTGTGCTGCTATAAACATTGAAGTGGCTGCATCTCTGTAGTATGCTGATTTTAGTTCTTTTGGATAAATACCAAGGAGTGAGATAGCTGGGTCATGGTCGTGTCATCCCTAGTTTTTTGAGGAATCTACATACTGCTTTCCAGAGTGATTGTACTTATTTGCAATCCCACCAACAATGTATCAATGTACTTTTCCCCTACATTGTTGCCAGCATTTATTATTTATGTTCTTGATAATTGCCATTCTGTCTGGTGTATGATGAAATCTTCATATAGTTTTGGTTTGCATTTCCCTGATTTCTAGAGATGTTGAACAGCTTTTCATATATTTGTTGGCCTTCTGTCTTCTTTTGGGGAAATTTCTGCAAAACCAAACAAACAAACATTATTTCTGTTGCCTATTTATTGACTGGGTAATTTGTAATTTTGGTGTTGAATATTTTGAATTCTTTTTATATTTTGATTATGAATACTCTGTCAGAAGAGTAGCTGGACAAAAGATAACAATATTTGGTCAAAGTCATTCCCCAGTATTTCCCCTTTCCCTCCCCTTCTTCCTTGCTCAGTTCCCTTTATTATACTGATCTTTTTTCTTGCTTTTTTTTTTCTTTATCCTCTCTAGCTTCCAAAAAAAAAGAAGAGTAGCTGGCAAGGTTCCCCCCCACCTTTCTGTAGGTTCTCTCTCCACATTCTTAATCATTTCCTTTGCTATGCAGAAACTTTTTAATTTTGTGTCATCCCACTTATTAATTCTTGGTTTTATTTCTTGAATTTTAGGGGATTTGTTGAGGAAGTCAGTGCCTGCACCTATATGATGGAGTGTTTTCTTCTAGCAGTTGCAAGGTTTCTGGTCTAATATCTAAGTCTTTGATCTATTTTTATTTGACTTGTTCAGAGTGAGATAGGGATATAATTTCATTCTTCTACATATGGATGTCCAGTTTTCCCAGCACCATTTGTTAAAAAGACTGTCTTTTCTCCAACATATATTTTTGGCACCTTTGTCAAGTACAAGATGGCTGTAAGCATGTGGGTCCATCTGTGAGTCTTTTATTGTATTCAATTAGTCTTCATGTCTATTTTGATGCCAATAGGTAGTTTTTGCTACTATAGCTCTGTAGTATAGCTTGAGATCGGTTATTGTGATGCTTCCCTGTCGCGACCCCTCGCTGGCAAGGGAAAAACACAACACAGGATTCTTCTTTCAGCAGTTTATTCAGGCCTTGATTCAAGTATCATCTTCTAGCGACCCCCCGCCAAGCGCCCAAGCACAGCCTAATAAAGCCTCCCGCATACCAATCCCAAGCTGCCACGTGGATCTTTCTCATAGGGTGGTAAGGGATTGCGTGCCAATCTCTCCATAAAAGGAGTTGTTTACCACAGGCCACAGTGGAAGCCGGCGCCATCTTCTAATGGCGGCCACGGTCTATAGGAACGGCTCACCACACTTCCCACTTAACTTTTCTTGCTTATAATTGCTTTGGCTATTCTTGGTCTCTTATTCTCCCAGTTGAATTTTAAGGACTGTTTTTTCTAGTTCTGTGTGAAGAATGCCATTGGAATTTTGAAGGGGATTGCTTTGAATTTGTGTATTGTTTTTGGTAGTATGGTCATTTTGACAATATTTATTTATGTTTTCAAAGACCAACTCTTTGTTGCATTTATTCTGTGTATTTTTTATTCTCTATTTCATTAATTTTGGCTCTGATATTTATTATTTCCTGTCTTTAACTGATTTTAGAATTAGTTTCTTCTTCCTTTCTAAGCCTCAAAGTAGAACATAAACTCATTTATTTGGAATCTCTCTAATACTTTTTAATGTAGGCATGCAATGTAATAAATTTTCCTTATAGTACTGCTTTCTACTGACCCAGAGATTTTGATATGTTGTATCTTTGTTCCCATTTGTTTGTAAGAATTTCTTAGTTTCGTCTGTCATTTCTTCTTTGGTCCATTTTTCACTTAAAAGAGTATCATTTAATCTCCATGTATTTATGTGGTTTGTATTCTTTTTCTTGCTGATGATTTCTGGTTTCATTCCAGAAGGACTCATGGGATTGTATCAGGGGTTTTTGTTTTGTTTTGTTTTTGTATTTGCTAAAACCTAGAATAAGGTCTATTTTGGAAAAGATTTCATGAGCTGCTGAAAAGAAGGTAAATTCAGCTGTTTTAGGGTGAAGTATTCTATAACTGTCTATTATGACCATTTGATTTATAATATTATTTAGTTTGGTTATATCTTTATTCATTTTATGCTTTGATGACATACCTGTTGGTGATAAGTATATGTTGAAATCACCAGTATTATTGTATTGGGATCTGAAATTTAATGTCAGTGAGTATTTTCTTCTTCTTTTTTTTTTTTTTATGTAATTGGGTGCACTGACATTTTACTGCACTGGCATATATATCTACTGTTGTTAAATCTTCTTGTTGGATTGTTCCCTTTACCAGGATGTAGTGGCCTTCTTTGTCTCTTCTGATTAATTTTTGCTTAAAATCTACTTTGTTAGATATGAGAATAGCTGCTCCAGCTTGTTTTCAGACTCCTGTTTGTATAGAATATTTTTTCCCATCCTTTTACCTTTAACCTGTGAATGTCTTTGCCTATGAGATGAGTCTCTTGCAAACAACATATAACTGGATCTTGCTTTTTGATCCATTTTGATAATCCATGTCTTTTGGGGGGAGTTGAGACCATTTATATTCAGTGTTATCATGGATATGTGTTTGTGGTTTACTACCATTTTTATTTTTTGTTATTTTAATTCTGTCTTGATTTTCATTTAGATGATTAATCTTCTATTGATCTTCATCTATTTGGGAGTTCTGGGATTTGGTTTTGGGTTTCTCAGGGTGCAGTTTATCTGTGAGTATTCTTTGTAGTGCTCGCTTGGTGGTCATATATTCTTTTAGTTTACTCTTGTCATGGGAGGTTTTTATTTCCCCATTGAATATGAAAGAGAGCTTTGCTAGGTGTAGCAATTGTTTTTTTGTTTTTTGTTTTTTTTGTTTTGTTTTTTTCAGAGCTTGGAATATCTCACTTCAGGCCCTTCTTGATTTTAGGATTCAAGTTGAGAAGTAAGAAATGAGCCTTTTTGATTTGCCTCTGTGACCTCTTGCAGCTTTTAATATTCTTTTCTTATTTTCTGTGCTAGGCATTTTGATTATGATTTGTCTTGGAGAAATTCTCTTCTGATCTGGTCTTTTTGGGGTCCTTACGCCTCCTGTACTTGGATGCCGATCTCATTTCTGATAACAGGGAAAGTTTTCTGTTACTATCTTATTGAAAATGTTCTTAATGCCTTTAGCCTGTATCTCTATGTTCTCTCCTGTCCCATTGACTCTCAGGTTTGGTTTCTTGATGTTGTCCCAGAGTTCTTGTATATTCTGATCATGTTCTGTATTTTTTTTTTCCATTTACTGCATACTGTGTACTCAAGTTCATGTACCCCATCTTTTAAGGCCTGAAGTTCTGTTTTTCAAGGGCTGAAGTTCTACTTTCTATGCAATATAATATGTTGTGATGCTTTCAAGTGAATTTTTAATTTGATTGTTTGTGACTTTCATTTCTAGGCATTCTAATTGGTTTCTTTTCAATATTTCTATTTCTTTATTGAAATAGTTTTTCGTGTTTGTATTTGTTCTTGTAATTCATTCCTTAGATCTTCTTTTAGTTCACTGAACATTTTAATAATGAGTTTTTTATAATCTTTCTCTGGAGTTTCATTCACTTCCTTATGCATGGGATCCTTTGTTGCGGGATTGTGAATTTTGGAGGGAGGTTTTATGGCCCTTTTCCTCATGTTTTCAGAGGACTTAGACTTGGGCATCAATTGAGGTTTGTTCCCTTTCCTGTTTTATACATGTGTCTTTACATGTATAGTTCTTTTTTGTTCTGGGATTGCTCTAGGATTGGGTTGTTGGTTTAAGGTTTTTGTCTCCTCAGTTATAAAAGTAATGTTAAGACTCAGTTGGGGCTAGATCATGTACACATTTTTTTAAAAAAAATCTGTTTGAGTTTTGGTCACTTGAAAACAAACTAAAATACTATTAAAATGTATTCTTAGGAACTCCATATTAAACAAGATCAGAATATGAATCTACATTCTGTC